ACACACTCCCTCTGTGAGAGTGACGCTGATTGGGCGACGCGACTCCCACGCAGTCAAAGCTACCTAGAAATTTTGCTTTTCCGGGAATTAAAAATTTCGGAAATTTCCGGAAAAGTAAATAGAAAGAAATCGGTAGAAAAATATTCTCTCGCTGTCTCGGCGTGGGGGCGTGGTTAAATTTGCCACGCCCGCGTTGTTTTAATCTTATCAAAGAATCGGCGAGTCCGCTCCTTAATTTGGGCTTGAAACACCAACTTCGCCGCGAAAATGTATGAGAAAAAGCATGGAAAAACAATACAACCTCATGCAACACACCCAGTGGCCACGTGGCCCGCTGGCCCTAATTGGAATATACGCCACCTCTAATTCGGAAACAAAAAGGCAGCTCTCTTTAAAAAATGTCGTAGTTGCCCTAATTATCGGCGGCATTTTTACGGTAGGTTAGCGCGTACGGTTAAAACCGCAAGAAGGAAAATAAAATTGACGGCATGCGGGGGTCATTTCCCCATGCGTGGAGGCGCCGCCCTCTCTTTGCCGTTTGGACCACTCCCAATAACATCAGCGCGTAACGTACCGGTCGTACGCTCGGACTTTGTGCCAGTGGCCCAATTCCATACGCCAAGTAATGGGGCCATACGGCGTATGGGTGACCAGATTTAGTTGGTGTTTGGAAAGCGTTAAGTTTAGCGGCAGTCCTTAAGTTACAAAGTTAAAAAGGCTATCTTTTTTTTTTTTTCTTTAGGGACCCCGCCAAAGTTTTAAGCGCTTAATAGGAAATCTTATATGTGTGGGGGCGAAGAATAGAGAGAAGAGAAAGAAGGCGCTATAGAGTAGAGGAAAAAAAAGAAAGGGCTCTCTCTCTCTCTCTCTCGCCTCTATCGGCGCCTTGGCGGTGCGCGCAGCGATTCCATCGTCTCCTTCTCTTTTCCTGGAATCGATCGCTGGGCACTGAAATCGTGGCGCTGTGACGACGCCGAATCCGGGGGGACGCGCAGTCTTGCATGATTCTTGAGCGCCGCGGCGGGATTGAAAGCGCGCAAGATTTCGCCATTCCAAGAGGGGAGCCGATCAAGATTGTGGGAATTCTTGTTCCAGCGTTTGCTATCGGCCGCAAGAACGCGTGGATGGAAAGAAGCATTCCATCGGCGGGCCTGTGATTGATTGGTGGCGAGGGTTTAGAACAGGGCTCGCAATCGCTTCGCGGCCGCGGCTAGAAAGCTCCTAGGTAGGCATAATTTCCTCTCCTTGCCGATGGTTCTCAATGCCGCTTCCAGATCTCGTGCCCGGCATTGAATCAAGATCGCAGCGACTCTGGAAGCCAGAATCCCGCAGAAAAGAATGGCTGTCCAGGCGCAGTATCCATCCACGATCCCGGTGGCCGATTTTCGCGTGAGGTTTGTGATCTCCTCTCCCGGATCCGCGAGCGCGAATTTACATCTTGATGTTTGTGGAACAGGGCGAGGCAAGTTTTCGCTGCGAATGGAAGCAAGAATCCATTCCCCTACATCGTGTCGGGGACGCCGCACGAGGATGTCCAATTCCAGCTCATGAGCGCCGCGCCCGGGGTCGTGAACCAGATCGCACACATGAATTCAAGTAAGTGTCTCCCGGGATCGATCGTTTTGCTACTTTCCTTGCATGTTTTTAGGTTGTGTTCTTGCATTGTTTCGCTTTGCGCGTCTCTGAGATGGGTGTGCGTGTAGTTGCAGGATCAGCGCCAGTCCAGCAAAGTGGTGCTCAATTCACGGACGAGTTCGTGTGTGGCATCAATGGTTCCAACAAGAGACCCAGGCAATCGGAGTTTCTTCCAGCGCATCAGCACCATTTACAGCATCAGCAGCAGCAGCAACAACAGCACCCACCATCGCAGCAGCAGCAGCAGCATCAACAGATTGTCCATGACTTTCATCGTCCGTCCGTGTCCACGATGCCTGTCTCTGGCGCTCCCAATACCGGAGTCTCGACAGGCCTCCGCCTGGCCTTCCCGGACGACCGCTTGTCAAGCACAGCACCATCCGGTTGTGGGAAATTAGAGCTCAATTCCACGACGGGGCTGTCGATGCTGGTGGAGGAGATTGCGATTGAGCTGCAGCGGCAAAGAGACGAGATCGAGCAGTTGATGCGAGCTCAGGTTAGTTGTGTCTTATTTTCCTAGTTCTTTGAGTCTCAAACTGACGGACCAATCGCTGCGCTTGGCAGGAAGAGCAAATGAGAAGAGCCATCGAGGAGAAACAGCAGCAGCAATCCAGAGCGCTGCTGAACTCGGTGGAGCGATTCGTAGCGCGGCGGCTTCGCGAGAAGGACATAGAGATGGAGAAGATCAACCGCAGGAACATGGAGCTGGAGGAGCGGGTGAAGCAATTGACGGTGGAGGCGCGGCTGTGGCAGAACAAGGCCAAGAACGGGGAGATGATGGTGGCGAGCCTCCGGAGCAATCTCCAGCAGGCGGTGGCGCTGAGCCGCGAACAGAGCAGGGAGGGGGTCGGGGACACGGACGCCGACGACGCGGAGTCGTCCCACCCGGACGACGCCGCGGACGATCACGCACGGACTTACAAGGAGAACAAGGAACTCCGGGAGAAGCGGACTTGCAGAGTATGCCGGTCCAACGACGTGTGCATACTTTTGCTCCCGTGCAGGCATCTGTGCCTGTGCAAAGAGTGTGAGGCGCGCTTGGACACTTGCCCGCTGTGTAGACACTCCAAGAACGCGAGCGTCCAAGTGTATATGTCGTGACGAGGGGCCGTCACGCTGGTCAGGCAGGCAGGCAGGCGGGGGGGATAGGTTCTCACAGGGGTCTCGTCTCACAGGAGGTCTGCAAGGGATGGAAAACGCAGCAGTGGCTCTGGCACAGGCAGGCAGGGATTTTCTTTTTGGGGAAGGCAGGCATGGTTTGTAGCTGCGAAGTTTTAGGCGGAGGAGGACGTAAGTTTTGAGTGTAGTTGTTGCGTGAGAGCTCAACAAAGCAACAAGGCGGCCAAAGCAGGGTGGTGGAGAAGAATCCGGGCACAGGAAAAGCAAAAAAAAGAAGGATGGGGAGTGGAAAGTTTGTCCATGGCATAATGTCGTCGATCGATTCTTGGAGGTGGTGGTGGTGCTTGTGGAGATTTGTGGGGAACAGGGACAGAGTATACAAGTTCTCTCGCCTTTATTTTTTTCCTGCGGGAAAAAGAAAGGCGGGGCATCCTCCACAGGCATCGGCTCGAGTGACGCGACAGGTTTTGTTGCATCACACAGGGATGGATGGACTTGGACTTTTCTTCCTCGAGACTCGACAGGGAACACACACACACACACACACTCTGGAATGGTTGGCGGCTTCTTCCCATGACTCGCTTGATGCTCTCGGGCGATGGATCGATCGATCGATCGATCGATCGTCTTCGTTCGTGATCGTGATCGGGATCGATGGGTCGCTCGCCGTCTCTGGTGGGATTCGAGTGGAGTCGCAGTCATGGATTGGATCCAGCCGAGGAAGACGAGGGCAAAGATGCGCCCAGGAAAAAGTTGGTCGTCGTTACGCAACGCAGCAACACTGTGGATTGGATGGATGGGTGTGTAAAAACGAGACGCAGCAGCGCTTGCTTGGATTGGATAGAAAGAAAAGAAAGAAAAAAAAGAAGAAGACGTTTCTCGGCAGAAAAGAGTAGAGAAAGAGCGAGCAATTTGTCTTCCCGAGTGGAGAATGTACATAGGCCGAAACTTTGATAATGTGAGACCATCTCTAGAAAAAAAATTTGGAAAAATAGCGGAAAAGAACAAGGCATCGTCTTGTTTGACTCTACCTCTAGCCGTGTTTAAGTATTCTTTTGTTTCTTAGCGCTAATTGGGCTTGTTTAATTGCCTGGCACATTGCACGATTGGTTTGTATTCTTATGTTGCAACAGGCACCAACATGAGATCTGCAAGCAACAGTGTGTGTTTGCGATTTATTATTAATAAAATGCAAATTATATAAATCTTTTCAATGTTTTTTAATTTTTGTTTTGATTGATTGATAGTCTGTTCTTTTTTTTGTCCATGGGACACTAGAATATAAGATATAATTGCTAGACGATATGGAAACTCTACCACTGGAGTTTTTAAAGGGAACAAAAATATCAGTTGGATTTGTCGTCCCACCCCGGCCTTTTCCTCGCCATTGAATGGAAATTGGGACGAGTTTTCCTCTGGGTTGAACAAGACAAACAATGCTTTTCCTTCGATCCAGAAAATTAAAAATTAAAACTATAAATAAATAAAATTGAGTTGCAAAGTGTGAAATGGGATAAGAGTCTAGAGGATTTGCTTGCCATCTCTCTTTTGTGGGGGCCTCCAATTCAATCCAAACAATGGTGGGGTGATGGTGGTGGTGGTGTAGTGGTGTGGTGGAGAGATCATAGATTTGCATGCCTTGACAAAATCACACAACCCACATTGTTTGTCCAGCACATGAAATAGAACAATTCCAGGTATTTTATTAGAAAAAAAAAGCACTAATTTCCCCACTTTTATCCTTTTTTCTAAAGACAAAAGCCCTTCCACCGCATCAGAGGTGTGAACAAGTTATTGGTCGAGGAAATGATGAATCGATTCAATTCATTCGCTCGTCTCTTTGCCGATTTCGTGTCCTGTTTTGATTTTAAAAATATTCAGTATAAAAAATAAAAAAGAAATTGAGTATATGAGAATAAAATAAAAAATAAAAAATAAAGAAAAAGAAAATGCTTGTGATGTGTTTTGGTTTGGTTTGGGTCCTACTCACAAAACCAACAAAGAAAAAAAAGCGAGACACCCCTTCATGTAATGGATGAACTTCCCGTGTTCTCACAAAAGCCACGAAAGAAAAGAGAGGAAAAAATAAAAGGGAATCAATTGGAGGGGATGGCTACAAACGATTTTGGCGGGCTGCCAATAAAAGTGGGTCTCTTCTCTCGCGCCATCAAACGTAATCCATTCCAAAACATTCAAATTCTGGGACTTGGCGCCAGATGGAGATTTTAGGGTTCTAGCAGAAAATTTATTTAGGGTTTACAGGGTTCTCTCTGTCTCGGGGATGGGAGACCGGGCGACGCTCCATCGGCTGTGGGAGAAATGGGCGCTGCCATTCATCTCCGTCTCAGGTAGACAGACGCCATCGCGCGAGCGATTGCGCATTTGATTTCTTTGCGATTTTGCGCAGGAGATAAGCCTCTTACAGGCGCCGCGCTGATCAATGTATCCGCCGATCGGCCATCGCGCTTCTACACATTGATGTGAGTAAGCGGAGCTTTTCCTTTGCAGCTCTGATTCTTTTGCTTTACTGTTGCTGTGAATTGATTCGAGCGAGAGAAACTCGTTTTGACTCTTTAATGTTTGTGATGGATTTTTTGTGGTTGGAACGTTACAGTGTCGAGCAAGAGGTGCTCTCCTTTAAGCCCTCGGGCATGCGGCCCATGATGGAAGCCATTAGAAACAATTCGCTCCACACGGACTACTTCTACATTGGACCCGATAAGTGTACGTGAGAGTTCTTCTTTCATGTTTTCCTTCTTGTATTTCTTTCCCGGGATTAGCCCTTCCTGATAGAGTTCTTCGACGACGTTTTGGTTTTGGTTTCCTTGTTCTATTACTCTAACCGTAGCGCTGATACACTTGCAAACAGATCTAGTTACTGCGATCTTGGAGAACGTCTACTGCGCACGTTGCGTGAATGCCAGGAACTTAAGTGGTTGCGGGGTCATAATTTCTCGTCACGCACCTTTCATTATAATAGCCACGTAAGTGAAGAACTTGCAAACCTCCTCCTCCTCCTTTGCTTACACATTTATCATCGTGGCAACAACAACAGGTACGAGGGCGCTGTTTGTGAGGCGTGTAAGGCTGCCGAAGTTGTTGAGTCGTTCCTGGACCAACTCTCGCAGGCTGTTGCATGAGTTTGCGCCGCAACGTGTTACTTACGACAGCGCAGACCTCGTTTTTAATTCAATTCTGGAGCACCAGTCACCGATTTTCTATCGCAGGTGAACAACCATTCTACTGACAGGCTTTGTTTTTCTGGCCGCATCCTTTTCTGTAGGGACATTCCAGCGGCAGGCGCGACTTTGCTGTTTTGTACGTGAGGAAGTTTATTTTTTGGAGCTTTCCTATTCTATTCCGCTGATTTTTCAACATTGATGTATCTGTAGGTGACAGCGCAGATCAGGAAGTAACCGAAGTTTAGAACCGAGATTCCTGCCATCACCCAGAAGAAGAGATCGAGGCGGCCTTGGTTTAAGTTCCGCGGCAGCCACTCTCCTTGTTGCGTGACGTCGTTCAAAACGGTCACTGTGAGTGTGCTGAGGTAGTTGCCAACAGCGACACTGGCCATTGACAACGCACTCCCGATCCCTCTCACGCCGTCCGGGGCCTGGTCGTAGAAGAACTCGGTTTGAGCTACGTACGTGAAAACCTCCGCTAAACCAGACAAGACGTATTGCGGCACTTGCCAGAAGATTGTCATGGGAACAGTCGAGACGGCATCAGCGGCGAGGTGGTGTTCTCGTACTACCTGAAGCCGTTTCCTTTCAACTCCAGCAGCCACCATCATAGCGACTATCAGGATGACATTTCCGATGCCCATTCTTTGGAGGATGGTTATACCTCTCTGGTTTCCAGTCACCTTTCGTAGACTTGGGACGAGAAGCTTCTCGTACAGAACAGTGGCGGCGATGACTGCTAGAGTGTAGAAAGTGTAGAGCGACGCCGGTGACAGGTGCAGCAGTCCAAACTTGTTATCCATGCAAGCGCCTTGCTCGACAAACGTGGTGGTCACCTGAGCTTCAACCATCTGGTATATACAGGAGCTGATCCAGAGAGGCACCATCAGGACGATACACTTGACCTCTTCGACTTGAGTTACAGTGCACAGCTTCCATCGGCTGACTTCACCACCATGGTCCTGCTCCGTTCGCGTTGCCGCTTTGTCAAGGAAGCTGTTCCATGAAGCTCTCGTCAATATGTGGAAAACAGGCTAGTCTACCTTAGGCGGTTACTGTGGAAAATTCGCCTCCCAACGGTGTCCGAGGAACTGGCCTCGTGCAAAAGGGAACTGTCTGTCGGTACAGGTACTTCCCATTTTCTAACAGCTGCTACAACAACCTGAATGGCACGACGAAACGGATTTCCTCCCGGCCTGAAGTGCCTATAGGACGTGATACCGGCTATGAACGTAAGTCCTGCCAGTCCGATAGCGAGAGTGGAAATGCCGTAGCCGATGGCATAGCTGTGGTTTACTTCCACGTATGACAAGATCACGGTCACGAAGAGCGAGCCTAGTAAAGATGCGACGAGGAAGTAGCTGAAGAAGGAGCTCTTGTTCCGGCTTTCCGGTGGATATCCATCCTCGAATTGATCGGCCCCCAATGCGAACATGCATGGCTGGTGTCCTCCAGCTCCGAGTGCCGAGATATAGAGGGCGGTGTACAGGAAAGTTCTTTTTCCGGCTGATGCTGGGGGACATTTGGATACGTCGCCCGAGCTGCACAAGGATCTGAACGATGGTAATGCGGATTGGACCGTGAGAAGCAGCGTCCCCTGTAAGTCGACGATCTTATCGCGTTTTCTACATACGACTGATTTCATGTATCTTTACCAGGAAGTGAATGGCAACGAACAGCACTGAAGCCCAGTATCTTCCGAGGTATGCGTCTCCAATGAATGCCCCGATCAAAGCAGTTGCATATGAAGTTCCCACCCAATTAGTTGCTGCATTTGCTGCTGCACCGTTGCTGAGATTCAGCGACTTCATCAAGTACAGAACCAGATTTGTAGCGACTCCAAAGTACGTTATAGTCCCGAGAACTTGATAGCCTGAGGAACAGAAGAAGCTAGAACTGAGTAGAAACAACATAAAGTACCTAGAACAAACTTGGCAGACTTCCAGCCGCCTGTGGATGATCTCCTGGCTGGATTTCCGAAAACATCGACGGATCCATCTTTGGTAAAGTCGCATCCAGCTTCGACTTCCAAGCTAATCTGTTTCCTGTTTTCAGGTCGATGCACATATCAAACGAACTTACATCGGAGTTCTTGGTGTCACCAAGCCGAACGGAGACGCAGTGTGGCTCTTCCATGAAACTTTCCTAAACAACTTCTTGGAGGAACAACGCTGTTTTCAAGTTCGAAGGAGTCAGACCACCATAAAGGTGAGATCTGTAAGTTTAATTGACGACATGACGTCTCAACCGCAGGCTGGCTAGTGGAACAATGATCTAGAGTTTGATAACGTGCATATAAGCCGAAGATGAAGTCGGCTTCGATGACCATAGTGCCGACGAAAACCTCCTTGACCGCGAGTATGTTCCTGTTCTCTTCTCGACAACTTCTATAGAGAATGGTGGACTCATACCGGTTAGTCAAGTGGACAACAGTTCTAACATCACAGGTCAGAGCCGGACATATACTGGAAGCGAAACAGATATTTGATGGAGTCCCACAAAGAGACATGGTACTGTGGAACTCGATGCTTTACTGCTACGCACAGAACGGGCATCTCACTGACGCAAAGCAGATTTTCCAGGACATGCCCGAGCACAGCATCTCTTCCTGGACTTCGATGATACTTGGATATGCCCAGAGAGGGTACGTAACAAATGCCAGGCGAGTTTTCGACGAGATGCCTCAGCACGATCTTATCTCGTGGACTTCTATGCTCAGTGCCTATTCTCAAGCGGGAGAAACCGAGTCGGCTGTGGAGATCTTCCAGAGAATGCCGGAGAGGAACCAAGTCTCGTGGAATTCGATGCTAGCTTTATATGCACAGGGTGGGGACCTTGAGAAAGCCAAGCAGGTGTTCGATGACATGCCAGAGAAGAACTTCTACGTATCGACGACGATGCTTTGCGCATATGCTCGCAGCGGGTATTTGCATCAAGCCAGGGACTTACTGGATGGAATGCCACAGGTGGATCTAGTAACTTGGAACTCGATTCTATCGGCTTACGCTAAGCAGGGCCGGGTCCAGGAAGCTCAAGAGTTCGTCGAGAGGATGCCACTGAAGAACCTGGTAACTCTCAACTCCTTGCTCTCGGCATACTCTCAAGCTGGACGATTCGAAGAGGCTAGAAAGCTGTTTGAAGAAGGGATGCCGTGCTGGAATATGGTATCGTGGAACATCATGCTCCGTGCTTATGCCGAGAGAGAGCTCACGGTTGCTACCAAGAGGATCTTCGATCGAATGCCACAGCGGGGTTTAGTCTCGTGGACGTGTATGCTCGAGGCTTTTGCTCGGTGTGGGCACCTGGAGGAGGCCAAGCAGATCTTTGACACCATGCCCGAGAGAGCTATAGCTTCCTGGAACTCGCTAATGCTGGGATATGCCCAGAGAGGGTATATCGACGAGGCAAAGGAGGTGTTTCGTGGAGTACCCGAGAAAGATCTGGTGCTTTGGAACTCCATGCTCTGGACTCTACACAGGAGCCTGGAAGAAGCTAAGGTTTTGTTCGATGCGATGCCTTGCCGGGATCTTTTCAGCTGGAGCACGATGGTGGCAGCTTATGCGTCTAGAGGGATCATAGATTACGCGAAGAAGCTGTTTGATAGACAGCCAGAAAGAGATGGTGTCTCGTGGAGCGCGCTCCTGTGTGGTTATTGTATCAGGGAGGAATTTTGTAGAGTTTTCGAGTTGTTTGGCTTGCTGGGGATGGCTAACGCTCCAGAGGAGGTGTGTTTTGTGGCCGTGTTGAGTGCTTGTAGCCATGATGGTATGGTTTATACTGGGAGGAGTCACTTCATGAGTTTGATGTTTGATTTTGATATGAAGCCCACAAAGCAACACTACTGGTGTATGGTTGATATGCTTGGCAGGGCTGGATATATAGTTGATGCCCACGAGTTGGTCAACAATATGCCATTCTTATGATATCAGCGAAAATAATTTTAAATAACTAATTAAGTATACATACACACACACATGCCACTTTGCACTGCAAGACGTTAGTTTATTATACGATAACTGATGTGAGCAGAAGCTAGGGTTGGCTTGGAGAAAATGTGATTGTGGGGAAGTTTTTGTATGTTAGAGGACGAGGAGGAAGTGGGGACCTATTATGTGCTGATGGGTTGGCACATTTTGCGCGAAACCATAGCATGAACTAGTTAGAAAACAAAATGCTACAACTAGAGTGTCATTTATTGTACCTACCATTTATGATAGTAATGAGGAAATGAATAAAATTATGCTAATGAAAAAGAAATAATGGTGTTTGCAAATTGCCAGGTCAAAGCTGGTGGACAGATAAAGATGGAATAGTGCATTCTTTTATAATTGGAGAAAAAACTCCTTAAAATAAATCAATTAATGAAAAATGTGAAACAACACCAAGAGCATTATGAATATGATCTGAAAATAATGTTAAATAATATTGATAGTGTTACAAAAGAGAATACGCATTGTGAAAAGCTAGCAATAGCATATGCTTTGTAAAAATATAACAAAAAAAAATTATCCAAATTGTGAAAAGTCTTATTGTTAGTGTAGCACACCTTATCTCTCTCCGGGCAATTGCTTGATAAAGAAAACTCAATAATTATTTTATCCCTATTATTTTAGTATATCCAAATCTTATCCAATGATCACATGTGCTACATTCAAGGGTAGGGTAGGTGTCAATATTTCAATTTGCTATTTGATTCTTTCTCTTCACCTTTTGCTCTTTCCCAACCTTTTCTTATTTTTCGGCCTAAGCTACCTTCTCATATTCATAAAATTTCTTTTTCATTTGCAATGCTTTCTTCTCTTGGCACGTCAATCATTTGTAACTCTCATGATTCTCATTCTCAATCATATTCATAATATTTCTTTTTCATTTGCAATGCTTTCTTCTCTTGGCACATCAATCATTTGTAACTCTCATGATTCTCATTCTCAGTCCAATGTTGAGTTGAGTGTTTTCTGTCCTCCTCATACTAATATAGATCTTGATTATTCATGAAGTTGAAAATCTTACTTCTGTTTCATTAGCAAAGTCTTTGATCAATTCTAGTGTTAAGTATTCCCCTATTCCAATGGTTGAGTCACTTTGGCCAGAGTTTCGGGTTAAATGCATATTCTTACTTGTGAATGCTACTGAGAGCCTTTGTTTTACTATTGCTACTAAGGAATTTAAATATTCCTTTGAAAGTGTGGATGTTGTTATTGATTTTCCTATCTAAAGTATTAAGTTATGTGTTAAGGAGATTGAGTGGTGTAAATCATTTGTTTATATTGTGGTGGCCAAAGTATTTTATGATAGGAAGTTCCCTATTTTCCAAGTTTTAAGCACATGTTCTTCTAATTTCCCCATTTCTGCATTGTCAATTGTTGCAAATTCCTCTTTTGATGCTTCTTTATCTATTTTTTTCTTCTATAATTGTTTTTCTCAATTTTTCTCGTTTTTTCCTCTTTGCCCTAACACTTCAAACTTTTTTTTCTTCTTCGGAGGGGGTAGAGGGGACGGATGGGAATTTGGCCCCAACGATGGAGTGAGGATGAGTACATATGGTAGTGGAGCGAGGATGAATGACATGGATTGTGGAGTAAGGATGAGTATAGTGAATCTGAATGGACCTAACGTAATAAGGTCAAACATATACAATAGTGGAGTGAGGCTAAATATAGATGGTGGAGTGAAAACGAGCATAGCAAGTCCAAATAGAGCCAGTGTTTCAAAACTTTTTTTCCTTTAGAGAGGGGATAAAGAAAATGTGGAGGATGAACTGAATGAATCCAACTTCCCTAGTTCAAAGTTATAGTTGTGTGGTTAGTTTAAACATTTAGGAGTTGTATATGGTTGCAACTGGTTCATGGAAGTTCTGTAGGTGGCTAATGCTTATGCTATGGTTTTGGATTTTATTTCAATCATGGTTATCAACAACTTTGTTAATGATTTTTTAGGAGCTTTAGATTTTTGTAATAGTTTATAATCACCTAACAGAAGCTTCAGATGTTCCACCTGACTTATTATCATCACCTTTTTCATCTTTCGGAGGGGAGGATGGTGTAAGGTTTGTAAATACATATATGTATATACATGTATTACCCTAGCTAGGTAATACACTAATTATAGTATCTGTCCATTTAGGACTCAATCTAGTCCATCCATTCTTATATATAAGCATAAGTCTAAACCCTAATTAATATATATCCCAAGCACTCACATAGCTAAATTACATTATTTAATAATTTTAAAAAGTGATTGTGTGAAGGATATTTGAAAATCAAAACTAAACCACCTTAATAAAAGAACGTAATAATAATAATAATTTCATGAACCAATCATTCTAACAAAACAAAACCAAATGCCCTCCCGACAAGAATGGTCTTGTTAGATTCTGCATTATTCATTCAACTGGCAAGAACTTTGTTGATTGCACAAAGGTGCCAGGTCTTCCCCTGTTATGTGATTTACTGGATTTCATCTTGAATAAGTAGTGTTCTTTGAGAATATTTATATATTGTGCAGAAGAGCACCATGTACAACCAGTTCGTGGCCACGTTTGACAAGGATGAACACTTTGCGACTTCATGAAGCCGCTTGGTGTCATCAAGACCAGGTACAAGAATGCCCATCAGTGAACGGATTTGAGTTCCAAAAGTTTTGGCCGTTAAGCTTGTTGAGGCAACGTTAACGAGAACTCATTCTGAGAGAAAACGGCGATTTTGAAAAAAAAAACGACTGGTCAATGTGAGGATCCGAGTTTAAAACCCCCCGCGAGATACAAGTCTGACTCTCAAGCTGGAAAACGAACGACAGACACCTTAGGCAAATATGAACATATGGTCTTACGTACACGGGAAAATCCATATCGCTAAGCTGAAATGCTGTTGCCTGCAAGCTGGAGCCGTACCATGGACCGACCAAGGCCTAATATTGATTATTGTTTTGAAGGACGACGTAGTGAAAGACGAGGCAACCAACGCAACAAGCACCGCCATAGTTGAGTGGCTGGAGGATGATCTTCGAGCACAACTTTAGTACCTTTACGAACAGGCCTCAATGCAGGTCCTATCAACCAGCTTACAAAAGCACCACCTACAAAACCTCCCAGCTGCAGAAGGGAAAACAAAAACAATCAAACACAAAGAATTTTGAGACAGAAAGGCTTACATGTCCCCAGTTGTCCACTTCATGTGACATCAAACCACGAACCTGGTTCAACCACGGACTTCAGGAAGAACAGGAGGAGGAAACGAAACTGAGTACAATGTTATAAGCTACGGTGCGTGAATTTCCTGTGCCTTGTTCAGCAATTTCCTGTGCCTGAAGGAGTAGACAGCAAGGGCTCCAATCTGCACTACACAGAGGGTGAGATGCATGTGAGCAGCGTCAGTTCATCAATACCAGGCCACAAATCGCTCCTGAAGCGCCAACTGCTGGTGACTTACACATGAGGAAGCTCAGGCAAGGAGCTGCAACAACGATTTTGAGATGGTTCTGTGTTGTTAAGTCTCGACTTACTAGTAACAGCGGCAACAGCAAACACCACCAAGAACCTCTTGGATCCTCCCAGTGACTCCAAATGTGGACCCAGGGAGTGTACAGAGTAGCAGGTCAACTGCAAAACAGTCCGAGTCCATTAACATTCTAGCTAGCGTGCAACTGACCAGGAGGTGTATCAAGTTGACGTGAAGGAAGGCGGGCGTAAGAAGTCTCCAAATCTGGCCTTTTGCAATCAAGCTATTCACCTCTGACGCTACTGCGGAGCTTTGAGCTCTAGCCAACTGATTAAGCCACAGAGTACCTTTGCTCCCCAGAGGATAAGCCGGTTTTCAGTACCGATCACAATATGCGCCATGAAAGCTCTGCATATACACAGATCGATTGTCAGGAAATATCCATCGAAAAACATAGCACTTGCAGTCCGACTTAATATCACATTGGCTGCAAGTATCACATTCATCCACAACCGTACAGGTGGGTTTCCTGGGAGAGGCGACTGTACTGGGAATGCATTACCTGAAAACAGTTCCACTGGTAAAATCATAATCTGGAAGAAGAAAACCAAAAAAAAAAAAGAAAGAAATACAAAAATAAAATAAAATTTGACCTTTGCGTGCAGCCCGGATCTGAACGATGCTTAATCGCGTTTTCAATGCGACCGCGGGTGACTTGCAATAGATATTGGCCAAAACTTACAGCTAAGTTGCAAACAAGACAAACACGTACCTGGACATTGGGGATGTGAATCTGATGAATCTTGAAACAATGCTGAGCGCGATTCACCGGTAGCGCCAAAACTTGCGCCCTTGCCATGAGAGTGACCCGGAACCCAAAGCAATCTGAAAACCTAGGGCTTCAGTGTGTTCAAAATGAGATGGATATTCCTTGGCAGGAATAGAAAATTCCTGAACATTCCTTGAATATACCAAATAGAATATTCCTGAACGGGTAAAACTCCATTTTATTGTTTTTACAGCACAAGTGAAATATTATCTCCATTTTGGGATATTTCAACATTCATGGTCTGCATCATCGCTGCGCTCTATATATATTCATATACTCAGCAGAAAAAAACTTTAAGGCTAATAAATATATATGTGTCTAACGTAATCCTATATGCTTGCTGTTGCAAACTGGTGAACTACAGCCTTAGAGATGCAGCCTTCACAATCGATCTACAATCTGGTGTTGCCACAGTGTAGAAATTGCGCACAGCTTTGAAACTTGCTATAGAGTAGCAAAGGCATGTAAAAATCTGCCTTGAACTTATTTCTTTTATATCATGAATCTTCATGACCTATTGGGTTGCAGCCAAAAAAATTTGATGACTGAAAAGCCCCATTCATCATCACTACTGTCCAGTTGTATATAAAGCCTCTTGTAAATAAGCACACGGTAATGTGTTCGGACAAATTGTACCAATGACACAGGGAACTGGTGCGATACTCGTCTATCACATTATCTACTCAGGTGGAATTTAGTAGTTAGCTTCAATAGCTTTTTGAATTCCCGGAGTCCAGTTCACCTTACTATGGTGGTCCACGTTTTGAACATGGTTGAAATGTCCAAAGTTGTCACTATCTGACTGGAGCCAGCCCATGTCAGTCACCTTTACTGAAACTGTCAACCTTTTCAGAGTAGAGCTTCAACACTTCAAACGCATAAGGTTTTGAAGTTGAACCAAGGTGAATATATAAACCTTAAATTTCTTGTAGCTTAAAGCTGTGTACAAATTGTACAGTGTGCAGCTAATTGCACCAAAAT